TTTTTATTTTAAATAATTCCTGAATAATTCTAGAATTTCACAATTCCTTTCTCCATTTCCTCAAACCATTCTAAAAAATCATTGTCACCACATGATTATCGTCAACATCATCTATTTAAAATTGAATCAGCACGAAGTTCCCTCTGCATCCCTTTTGCAGTTTCCAACGTTAACTCGAAGCTTTGTACCCTTCTTCGTTTATTTATAAACAAATTTATTTATTTGAAATTTTCAATCGTTCCGGAGAGGCGACAGCTCTAGCACATTCACGCTTCAAACGGGTGATTAACTAGGCAAATTTATATTTTTCCAATTTTTGATTCTTTGCGTCGATAACTTTTTTTGCCAAATCTACAATAGCTAGCTTAGGAAAATCAGATTTAAATTGGATCGCAAGCTGTTCATCATCAGTTGGTTAAAATCGAGTTAAAGTTATTGCGATAAATGTTGGTTTTCATAAATGATTAATTTGTGCGACTTCAATTTTTTAAAAGCTAGAAATTAATTGCACTCCTTCTTGTAGATATATTTTATATTTCCAAGGTCATCAACTATTAATAATAAAGCCATAGTACCACCAATACCTCTATTTCCAGTTCTAATTATTATATTCTACGCATATCAACTAGACTTATTTGTTCTCTTTTAATAGCACATACTATTCCCGACTTGATTCGCTCCACAAGCTACTAGGATGAGTTTTCTCACAGAATAGCTTGTGAAACAAGTTTGTTAAATTCAATAATCTCTTCAATAATACAAGGTATCAATCATTCAAGTTGAGCCATGGTGAATGATATTTAAAAGATCTATAATCAGTGATTAGCTAGTTTGGTACCACTTCATTTCTCGCTTTTCATGCAAATATTTGGATCATTTTCTCTTTTTCCTAATAGCATTTATTTCTTTAGAAAAACTACATCTCTATATTTATCTTTCTTGCAAAATAAAATTTATATTTGTCTGACATAATTTCTTTGTCGAAACGATGACCGATCAACAAATTCTGTTCATTTATCATTCATTCATTCTACTATTGATGAATATTTTCACATAGGAATTTAGAAATGAATGTTCACCTCGTTAAGCGATTAGATTTCTTAGAGAAGGAAGAATTTGGCCAACCAGGTTGTCTATCGTCATTCACAAGAACTAATGAGCTAACACATCAATGAGTTAATGAGTTTGTAAATCAATCGAACAATATTTTTATCAAGTAAAATAAAAACAGTTCTTTTTTACAACTTGATATCCACTAAGAAAATGATTTATTAAATTTTATCTTTATTGAATTTGTTGTTTATTAATTGCAGTTCGAATGCTATTTATAATTGACTCATTATAAGATTAGTTAGCTTCTCTCTCATTCGTTCGGCATCATTCCTGGTTTGGCTTGCTTCACTGGCTTTTAGAGGGAGACCGCATTCGCCAGACAGTTAATTAAGATTAGAAATACGAGTGTGTTCATCCGCTATCACCTGGTTTAGTTTCCGAAGGTTAGTGGTTAATGCTCAGCATTTCTGGTTAGATTAGTTCCTCTGGTTATTAGTATGATTAGAAATTTCTTGCCAAGGAAGCGATAGAAATAGAAATAGAAACACTAGGTGAGTCACTAGCGTTTCCAGAATTTTTTTTAGATGAAGCAGATGAAGCAGAGAACTAAACCTATGATGCTGGACGCAAGTCGAACTAATTGTACCACTTGATCGCTCTTTGATCCTTATTCCCATCAAAGAAGTTAAATCTATGATAGCTTGAAGCTATGATATACCGCGTTATCTTTACCAATATGAGAATAAATCTATTTTCATTTGGAAACGAGAACTATCACAGACTAAGTCGAGATTAAGAGAGAAGCTTGGAGAGGGTGTTAAGGTAATATGAGTACATAATCGGCAGACTAGTTCCACTGGCAGCAGGCGTAAGGCATTTCCAAGCCTCTCGAATTACACTGTACCGAGTTAACAAGTTTGTTCGAACATAATTTTTGTTTAGTTATTTAACTATTTATTTTGCTTAATCGAGATTGAAATTGAAATTTTCGGCAAAACCCATATGAATATGCCATGTTATTCACCCCGACTATAAAATTTGTGGCATAGAAAAGGCGATTCGGTTGACGAACGAATAAGTGAACTCGGTGAAGGATAGGGGTTGGCTTGAGAGACTGTCATTTCTATAGAAGAAACTCCTATAATTGCATTCACCAACAATCGAGTATTTCGATTTAGTTTTGCCTCGCTTCTCATTGGCATTCTGTATCGTCGTCTACCTTAAATATACTCTTTTCATGGTTTTTTCATTTTTTAAAAAAACTTTGATTTCTTTTTTTCGTATAATATAATGGCCTTATAAAATTCATTGCTTACGTTCTCCATTTGTTCTCATTTTCATCCATTCATTCCACTCAAATGGTTTATCAGTGATAATTTTTTTGAAACATTTTCGTTTTTTCCTTATTTGTGCAATAATTCTTTCCGTGAGATTCCATCTTTCAGGATTTTTCTTTCTTCTTGCAACGACATTTTCCAGTTTTGGTTCAGCTAAGAGGTAATCTTCCCATTAGCGAGTAGGGTGAGGCTATTCCACGGCTCGGGATAGAATCACAAGTGAGTCGCGACCTGGGTTAATGGCAGGCTTCCTCCCATCGACCGACCATTATTTCCTTATATACTTGTTCCCCACCACTTTCTGAATCTCATGCTGAATAATTTAGGATATTAAATAGGAGTTTGTATTCCTACTGGAGTAAGCAAAGTGAGCGAATAAGATTTGACAGATGTCTGAAATTTTCACAATCAAACAACGCTGCGCTAAAAAAAGGTGGTGTAATTATCTCTTTAAAATCACTTCTTGTACGTTCATTTTCAAATAAATTAGGTAATGTAATGAATCTTTTGTTGGGTCACTGAGATGCAAAAAAGCATGGACGATTAGCGCCGTATTACTGTAATCTGTGATCATTAAATTTTAATGGTATTGCGAATTTTTCAATAATTTTTTCGAGCAATTCTTCTAAATCATCACTAATCGTTTCCTTAATAAAATTTCCCAATTTTTTAAAAGTAGAGCCAAATTATTTATAAAATACTAACGATAATACTAATTATAATTCTATCGAAATCGAAGGGCACAAAAGAGTTCCATTTGAAGTCAGCGATCGTTCACTGCTTTTATACTCCACTTTGCGTTCCATTTTTTTCTAATTTTTAAATTACCACGGACATTGCTTGTAAAATAAAGTGCGTAAACCATGGAACGCGATGAAGTAATGTAATGCATTTAAGAAATGAGTAGTCGTTTGGATCGTAGCTTAGGAAAAGAAGATTGTTCATCTCCGATGAAGCTGGCCTACCGACTGCTGAGAGTCGCAGCTCGATTTCGCTACATGGCTGCGAGACCTGGCCAGTGAGAGTGGGGATGCTGAGGAGCGATTCGCAGGCGGCCAGCGCAACGAGCCCCACCAGTAATGGTGCGAGCTGTTGGGAGAAGGAAGAGTCGTAAGTTAAGGATAAAAGTAAGGAAGCGCTCGCGCTCTTCGAACTTGGCTGCCCTAATTAATAGCGATGAAACGCGCCGCGCTCGTTTGCTGGATTCCTTCGCTCGTAGCATTCGCCGTTCCTTCCCACCTCGGCGAAAATTCGCGAAAATTTCTTAAACGAACTGAGCAATTGTGATCGAATTGTTGTTCATTAAATAACAAAGGAAATAATATCGAAAATAACTCTTTTTCTCTATGTTTTTGCGAGAAACGATTTGTCATCTTCTCAAATCTTTCATTAAACTTTCATATATTTGAAACATTTCAATCATTTTTATACATATGCACATTTCTATCAAATTGCCTGTCAATAAAAAATGATTTATAAGGGGCCGTAATTTCCCAAGCGTCCGGGCCACCTTTCTGTGGTCGGCAACAAATTGCAATTTTCATTGATTTGTTCTCTCCGTATTTGTTCATTTCTTAATTTAAATTATTTCCAAATTGAGATTGGCTGTTTTCGTCAATCAAAACATCGAATAATGAAATTCAGCCATGAAATTTTGTGAAACTTCCATGGAGTTTTTAATTTTATTGTTCGTCTTTTTAATATTATTTTGCCCTGTAAATCACTTTTTTCTAACTTTTATTGAATATATCGAAAGGATAGGCGAAGGTCAAAGGTCAAAAGGTTAAAAGGTCAAAGCTGTTTAGTTGGATTTTTCCCCAGTCACTTACTTTACTTTGTTGAAACCGTCATCATTCAGTGTTAAATAGATAATAGTTGTTTTTTTTAAAAGGGTGTGGATGTGCGAATGGTGTGTTTGTTTCGATTCGTGTTGAGCAATACGACTCTTATTCGACTCCTTCGCTGCCCTAACAGGTTTAAACCTGTTATTAAGAGAAACCCGTATGGTGTTTAGCGGCTACCTATATTTCGATAACGAAGTGATTCTCTGGCAAGATCAGTGGTACCAACCGGGGATGGTTAGCCACTGTCTAATTTCTTTAGTTTTTAGAGAATTTCTTTAAATGAAAATTAAAGGCAGTAAAAGATCGAAAAACGAGTCGTGATTGCACTGTAAAGATTGTAGTGCCCATTTGTTTTTATTTGAAGTTTTTTTTCTTACAAACAATGAAGCACAATTAAGAAAGATAGCCGGAAAGGTGAGGAGTTGCGGCCGGCTGAAATTTTTGTTTTTTTTTCTGGTTTGTTTTTTGGGTGATGTTTATTTCGCTAATGAAACGAGATTTTGTGCTAAGTAAATGGAAAATATTCCAAAATTTTTTGATGATATTCGATCTTTTTTATAATTTGGCAAACTTTTTGAAACTTTTTTCATTTTTCAATTTTATAAATAAATAAGGATAAGAATATTTGTTCATTAATTTATTATTTAATTTTATAGCAATTTTTTATCGTTTTTTTAGCAAAAATTTTAATTCTAATTTATTTTGATTGTAGTGGCAAATATTTGTTTTCAGTTTACGTAAGACAACGAATTCAAATCGAAATCGAATGAGAAGACGCGAAAATTCACTGGAAATCTGGATTTTGGAAGCGAAAGGAATACCATTGAAACGAAAATATTATTGTGAAATATGTTTAAATAAGACGCTTTATGCTCGAACATCTGCCAAACCACGTTCGGAGATTTGCTTTTGGGGTGAACATTTCGAATTCAGGTTGATTTTATTATCGTTTTCAAACAAAGCGCATAGTTTTGTTGTAATTTGAACTTGCAAATATTGCGATTTACTTTAATGGTAGGTGCAGGGTGATATGTCGAGTATGCTGACTTAGATTAAACCGTTATGGGTTCGAATTATATTCTTTGACAGGAATAAACCTACCACCAAAAATGAAGCCAAATTGATGCATGGAGCCCACTTTTATTTCCCTCATTGTCAGCATGATAGTTGCAATTAGCCAAATCCCGAATGGTGAGTTATTAGAAAGGAAAAAAGAAAAGTGATTCAGTTGAGGAAAGTAAATAAAAGTAATTAGTAAAAGTAAAAGTAAAAATAAAAATAATAAAAGTAGGAGGAAAATAAAAAAAAATAAAAGTAAATAAAAGTTATCAGTGATAGCACTTTTTATATTTTTAATGCTAAAAAAATCGGACCAAATGTGGGAAATGAATGATGAAAAATTTAGAACATGACGGGTTTTGAGATTGAAAACAATAACTCTTCGGTAAATAGATAATAATTCCAGGTTTATTCGAAATATTTTGGTCTATTCTTTTTTTATACTTTTGTAGATTTGCAAGATCTTTTTACAACGTTCTTTTAGAATTTTTTTTTCAGCCCATTACCTGTTCTTGATATTATTTGCGTAAATTTATATCGAGAAGCAGATCCAAAGAAGAAAAAAGATCGTTCTGCATTGATCGGATATATACAAATAAAAATTGATGAAGTATGTACGCGTCATCCGATAGAACGATGGTCAGTTTTTTCCCCATATAAATTGAAAAAGGTCTTTTAGTTAATTTTTATAATTTTTATAATAGAACGAAAATGTCGTTGTTAATGATCCTGTTTTTTTATTTAACAGCATTCACTGAATTTTCAATAAAAGATTCATATCAGTGAATGGTAATAAATCACTTACATTTCCTTTTTTTTGTTGAAAATTTCCTTTTTTAATTGAATCTTCAACTGAATTGCATGTTTATATTCCCCTATGCCTCTTTGAGGATGTCATCTTTAATAACCAGCAAATCCAGCCGAATTGTTTGTACCATCAGAAAAAGGATAATTTCCACCAGAAATTTGCAGCAAAAGGATAATAATTTGCACCCGAAATATCTTTAAACATCTTATATCTTTATCTTCGACTAATACACTAAAATTAAGACTAAATGAATACGAATAATACGAGTAAAATGAATTAAATGGATATTTAACTGATATAGTTATTATTGCTTTCGGTTAATAATTTATCTGGCTTGTGAATTGAAATAATTTTAGATAAACATGAAGTATTTTGATTTTATTTAAATATTTATATTAATAAAAATATTTCAGGTATGCAATAACAGGCGGTTCAGATGGTAATAAATCAACTAATCATAGTAAAGATAAAGGTGAACAAGCTGCTATACGAGTTAAAGCTCGTTATCAGTCAGTTGATATTCTTCCTTTGCATATGTATGATGAATTACTTCGTTTCTTTAGGTTAGCTGTTGCTCTTTTCTTGATATTTTTGATCTAATTTTTAATTATAAGGATATTCCAATTTTTTTAATCGTCATCATCGTGTTTAGTATCTGGCTCTCTTCTAAAAAGCTGTCAATTTTCACTGAATAAAATATTTTCCTTCTGCGAATAGAATATTATGAGGAATATTAATTGCTTTTAAATATTAATTATAAATGAATAAGATTTTACGCAAAAATAAAAAAAATGAAAGTTTTTTGATGGAAGAAAAAAATTTATAAAATTTGATTTTTTAAGGTATCGTTATTTATCTCTCTGTAAAGCACTTGAACCACTGCTTGGTGTTAAAGCGAAGGAAGATTTTGCTACATCATTGGTGCGGGTAATGCACAATCAAAAATTAGTTAAAGATTTCTTATGTGATCTAATAATATCGGAAATTGAAATGCTTGGTTAATGCTTATTTTATTATTTTGTCTATCAAATTGTTACCAGTAAATCATTTTTTTCTTCTTTTATACATCTTTTTCTTATCGCAGTGCTTATTCTAATTTTGTTGGTCCCTTTCATTTCTAGAATGAAACTTTCCTCAGGGAAAGTAATCTAGATGCGCCCTAGCGTCAACTAGACTTCGGTTTTGATGAACTTGTAGTTTACTGCTGTCCAGAGAAATTAAACCCATATTGTTTCTTTTTAATCGAAGTGGTATGCCACTCGAACATGCTTCTCCTAATTTGTGACTTCTTTGTGTCACAAATCATAATTATGTAATTATGATTATCTTTTCTGTAATTATCTTGCTTATGAACTATCAGAATAAATAAATGATAAAAATATTGGTTCGATTCGTTTTTCAGATAATGAACATCTAATGTTCCGAGGAAATTCATTGGCAACAAAAGCGATGGAAGCTTATATGAAACTAATTGCAGAGGATTACTTAAAAGTTCTTTATTTTTTGCGATTATTTTACTTTTTAATCAGTTTTTGTGCAAATAGATCAAAATTTTTTATTTTTATTTTTTTTCTGTTTCCTGTCCAAGTTATACATTAAGGATACACTGGGTGAATTTGTGAAATCAATATTAGAATCAAATGATAATTGCGAAGTGGATCCATTGAAAATGCCTAATGTCAACCCAAGCATTTTGGAAAAAAATCGCCTTCAGTTGATTTGTAATGTTGAGATCGCATGGAATAAAATTATTAACAGGTAATCTCTAGGTCATTCTCATAAAATTTTTTTGATGAATAATGTGGACACCTGTTCTTATATTCGCATATGACTGCGGTTCTATTATCAACCAAATAATCCTGATTGCTCACAAATCTGAAAATTCATTTTCAGATTTTTCCATTTATTGATTTAGATATTTGATATATTAACTTTTTAATTTCAACAAAAAACGACTTTATTCAAAAAAATGTTATTTGGAAGTTGTCCTTGTGGATCGCGAAATTATATAACTTGACAGCTGGAGGTGTTAAATTTAGGAGAGGAAGAAGATCATAAGATTAAACAAGAAAGATATGGAACAAGTGGGAAATAGCAACAATAGCAAGTGGGAAAGAATTTAGCGGAAAGGAAAAAGGAATGAGTCCATAAACTTTTCGATTTTCCCTATCAGAAATGTCAAAATATATAATTAAATGTTTTTGTCATTTGTCAAAAGTTTAAATACATGAAATCTTTCCAGCACATCGAATTTTCCAATTGAACTGCGCGAAATATTTGACTGTCTTCGACAGCGTTTAGATCGTACAAATCGTAGAGATCTTGCCGATATGCTGATTTCATCCAGCATATTTCTTCGATTTCTTTGCCCAGCTATTCTTAGTCCAAGCCTCTTTAATTTGGTATAATGAAAGCTATGCAAAATTTTATTTTCACTTTATTTAAAATTTATTAATAATTTATTTATTTAAAATTTATTATTAATTTATTAAAAAATTTCAATTGAAAGTTAGCAAAAATTATTTAAAAATTTTTTCAATAGAATCTGGTTTCTTAAATTTACTTTTCAAAATTTTGAAATTTTGAAAAATTTCAGGTATCCGAATATCCATCAGGAAAAGCTGCTCGTAATCTAACTCTTATTGCTAAAACTCTTCAGACTTTAGCAAATTTTACAAAATTTGGAGGTAAAGAACATTATATGGAATTTATGAACGATTTTGTCGGCAGAGAATGGAATAATATGCATTATTATTTAATGCGAATTTCAACCATTTCGCCCTATACTGAAAAATCGGCAAATACTGTTTCTTTCGATTTGGGACGGGAAATTTCTCTTCTTCATTCCTATCTTTGCGAAATTTGGACTGATCAGGTTAGTCTATAAAATTTTCGTGATCTCCACGTTCTTGCAAAAAAATTTATTAATCTGAAATTTTGAAAATTAAGTTTTGCGCTTTTGAAAAATGATAAAAAACTTTAATAAATTCAATTGTATCCTGAATCTTTTTTGTTAAGGCTTTTTTAACATTTACCGATGTAAAAATCATGTTTTATCAAATTTTCACTGGGTTTTTAGATACATGAACGAATCACAGTGAAAGATAAGCAAGTGGAAGATTTGAAAATGATTCTTAATAGGATATCTGTGTTATTGAATAATGGTGTCGATGTAGATTGTAGCTCTTATAGCTCACAAAGTCCTCCTGCTCTTCGCGAGTATGATTTACTATCATGGTATTTTTCAATTTTTTTTCAGTTTTTTAGTTTTTATATGCAGTGTAACTCCAGTGTGGTTATATTTAATAAAACAAACATCCTGATTAAACGGTTTCCAGGTCTAAAAATCCCGCCCAATTTCCTCGTATGTGTGGACGAAGTATACAGACTGGTTTGACAAATGTTCCAGCATCACATCTTGGGACGACTGATGATTATGTATTGGACACGGCTTTGATCAATGATAGTTTAGCCGTGCGAAAAGCAGGAATATGTGTCCAACAGCACCGTAATGGACAACTGAAAAATGCACGGCAAATAATGAGCAAATCCTTACAGCCCACTCAAAAGTTAACTTTCACACAATACTCGAATAAACCGAATAAATCAATTTAACTGTGCTATCATTATTCATATTGCAGGTTTGAGAACGATTCTATTAAGATATCAAGAATATCAGCAAAGTCATACAATTCATTAGTTGATGGATCTGTTCAAGATGACAGCGATTCAGATGATGCGACTTCGAAAATTAGACAGGTTAATCTTTCACTTAATCTTTTTTTCACTTTGAATAAATATGCTATGAAGCTTTCACGGTTTTTTTCTCGTGTTGCTAATGAATTTGTTTTTAGGGTTTTTTTCTCGTGTTGCTAATGAATTTGTTTTCTGGGTTTTTTCTAGAGAAAACAAGATGTTTTTTTTGCTTTTTTCGTCTTAATTTAAAAAATTTTCTAACGAATCTATTTATTGAATCGATTTAATTCTTGCAATTTGTTGGTTAAGGTTCGACCAGCTCGTAAATGTAAGCGACGTTTGGTAAATTCAACAGATCAGAATGACAAATTGGTACCACTTAATTCAAATACTTCTTCAAGTGGCTATCAGAGTCAAGAACAGAGCAATAGGTATATATTGTTATTTCTGTACTATATATTATTTTTTTTACTAGTATATTTTTATTGTTTCAGTATGACCTCATCAAATAGCAGTAGTCCCATTGAGCGAACATCTTCAATTGCGGAAAAAGCTGAGCGATCTCCTTTGCACATCACAAATCCAATGTATCTAACTAGCAGTAATTCATCAACTCTCTCCTCCCCATCCGTCGTTGAAAAAACTATGAAGGAAAGGCACCTTGACGATGAACCGTTTCCATCATCTAGTAATTTAAGTTTTTATGGGTACATTCGACATTCGGCCACAAATTCAGGTGAAGATGGTGGGAGTAAATATTCATTACCAAGGTTAGAGCTATTTTGTAATAATTGATTGATGTTTTTATAATTGATGTTTTTTAAAATAATTCTTATTAAAGAGAATAAAGTTTCGCCACTTTCATAGATTTTGAAATTAATACCATTTTTCTAGCATTCAAAATTTTATGGTTGTGGATTTTTCTCGTAATGCCAATTTCAAATTTCATTTCAGGACTAACCCTCGAATAGCAGCTCGGAACCCTCATAGTAGTACACTCAATGCTGAAACTGTGAAACCTACTTTAATCGATATCAATAATGATAATGATCTCCCTATTATTACGGCAACTCCAGCCAAATCGATTGTGCCCTCTTGTAATATTGAAGAGAAAAGAAAAGTGGATGTAAAATCAGATGATATCAAACAGGAGCAAAGGTTTTTAAAGATAATTAATATATATAGTATAGTATTATATCAAAAACATTTTTTTATTAGATTTATCATCTATTTTCAGATTTATCGAAGATTGGCAGAATTCTCGGCTTCAAGAAAATCAGTTACATCTTGATCAAAAGGTATTTTATTTAATTTTTGTAAAATTTTATAACAATAGAAAACAGTATTATCATAGAAGTTCTATGCAGAAAATTGAAAAATGTTGAATGGACAAAGTATCCAAAGAAAAAATCTTAAACTAAAAATCTTAGTATCTTATATTTGTAGACCTAAAGATTATCAAGCTGCTGTTGATCTTAAAATACCTGGTAATAGTCGTGACCGTTTGATAAATGAAGAATTTGAAGATTTAAGAATGATAACTGGTATATATGCACAGACACTGATGAACATTTTAAAAGGCTGACTGGATCATTCAATGTTTCTTATAGATATATATAGTTCATATGTTAAGTGATGAGATTCGACTAAATCATATAGGTGGAAAACCAAATCCTTCGGATTGGAATTTATTGATGAAAATTCAAGGCAAAATTTTGTGTTCTAATTAATTTCTTTCAGTCAATTCATTTATTTCTTTTATTCATTTAATATATATCTTTTTCATTCAATTTTTTTTCATTCAATTCTTTTTCATTCTTAATCTTCGAATTCATTTCATTAAAATTTAGAATCGTAGAGGGAAATTTTTGTCCTGCATAAAGTCATTGTTTTTAGGAAATTATTGAACAACAAAAACGCGAAATTCTACGTCTCTTGCGTGAAAATGAAGAATTAAGAAAACATGTGACCGCGCAAAAATATGAACGACTAATATCATCAATATCATCTCGGGTTCCTGAATCTCAGCAGGTGTCCATTTTTTTACCCCGATTTTTAGTACTGTCAAACAAAATCAAGGTTCTATACTGTATTATTATTTATTGTGATTGTGATCATTTTGTTTATGGTGCATTAATCACGCTTACCTAATGCAAAGATTCTATTTCAGTTTGCCGATAGTGGTGCTTCTGAAGACAGCTATGATTCTTTCAGTTCATTTAATGATTTACCGCCTAGTTTAGCTGTCAAAACAACCAGTCATTAATATATATTTATTTCTTTCTTGAGCAGATTGTAATTATCACTCAAGATTATCAATTTTCCCCAAAAATTTATTATATAATTTGGATTCGATTCAGTATTTTAAATGTCATTTGTTAAATAATTAAAAATTTTTCTCGAATACATTTTCAAATTTTTTACGGTAATTCGTATTTTATAAAAATTATATTCTCTATTTGAAGATTTTTAAATTTTATTGAATATATAATATTTTTTTAAGTTTTTTTCAATGAAAATGCTAGTCGAATTTCTATATGCACATGCATAATTTTTGTATATATTTGCAAATATTAACTTATCTGTTCGTAGAAAAAAAAGTATCTTACCTAGCAAGTGAATCTATGCAACAAAGTTCATCAAAACTTCTCGCATTACTTTCTTTCTATCAAAAAGAAAGAAACACGTGGAGAGAGGTGTTAAATTTTATTTTGAAAATCTAAGTCGTAGAGAAAATAGAGAAAATGATATTGCTTGGTTTTTTTTAGTTTTATCTCATTTTAATATTTGACTGTATTTATCAAAAAATTATCCTTATTAAATTTTGAAATAAAAATGAATTCCATTGTTGAAAATAAATCAAGAAATTTCGCTTTTGTTTAAATCAGTTTCATCGGTAAAAGCTAAAATTCGGTAAAATAATGAAGGCTAAAAGTGATTTTCCATTTATTAAAATTTTCAATAATCAGCAGTTTGTTTAAATGTTTTCTGGCCTTTTTCTTCCGATTTTCTAGTTAAAGAGATTAAGTATTTTAATATACTAAACAATGGTTTTTGCTCTAATATTCATATTCATTCATATATTTTTAAAATCTTTTTAGAAATGTAATCTATTTTAATAGCTGGTAGAGCAAGCCAAAGGAAAAATGGTGTTTTCTGCTAAAAGATTGTTTAGAAAGGTTGCCACTGTAAATGGAAAAAATTTAGTGCAAATTTTGTTGGGAGAAACATCATACAGTCTTGATTTATCAAGTTTCCTTGAAATTTTTTGAGTTATAATTTCCAATCAGATAATCCGTGCATATTCGATTTATTTTCATTCGTGAACAGTCAACCAATACGAATTGATTATGCTTGTTAGTTGTAACTAATCGCTTTACTGAAAGCTCTCCAACTCGTTGGCAAATAACGTTAACGAGAGAGCTGAATGGTGATTGATTTTGAATTAAATTGCAATGATCACCTTTGAAATACTAATTTCTGTATTGAGTTTAGATGAAATAAAGCGTAAAAATGCAAATCTGAAGTGAATTAACCGTTAAGAAAAACTTCGGTTCTTTTTACTTGGTTTACGATCGAAAAAAAATAATTTCTTTTTTTCGCGAAAGTAAAATAAAGCACTGCAGATCATCATTAATTATCCAAATACATCTAGCGAGGTGCATGCAAAAATATAGTTAAAGCAGATTTTCATAATTCCATAAAGATTTGCTGTATAACATTAATTGGAACCTGGAACAATTTAGCTTTTTCTAAGGCATAATTATTCTTTAAATATATTCATCTCATTTTATGCCCATTATTGGCAGTAAATGTAAGGATTCGATGTTTGCATGTACTTGGCACCAGGGTAGGAGAGTGATCGGTTGTTGGTGAGAGACCATCTGAGCATGCCTTAGAGTAAATTTATTTTAAAAAATTTATATTTTGCCACCAAGTGCGGTCGCTAGATACTAGACTGCATGGAAAAAATTTCTGATAATACTAAAAAAACTAGCCAACTAGCCCGAGCAGGATTGATTAGCGCTAGTTTTGTATTACTAAAATTAATAAAATAATTCTAAAAACACAAATTTTTTGAAATTCTTCTAATTCTTAAATGAGTTAAATCTCTTAAATTCCGTGAAAATTCAAGTATTGATTAAAAATACGAATCATTATTCCAAATATTTAAATTAAATTACAAAATTATAAATAATTGAAATAGAAAAAAAGGCCGATCACTTTAAGTAGAAAGCGTGAAAATATTCGATGTCAGTTTTGCGATTTTATATTTCTATGAAAATTATTTGCGCTGTCGAACAAAAATTATAAATAGCGGTCTTCTATTAGGATCTTGAAAAATTTCTGTCGAATTTTTCTATAACCAATAGATTTAAAAGGAAATTATGATTATAGTTTTTGCCATCATTTTATTAAATAAAGATGAATATTTATGGGCAATTGGTACTTGCGGCAGAACTGAGAGAAAAATTTTAGGCATTCTGCTTATCGCCTGCATTCATTTAAATTTTTCTATTTCTTTAAAAATAGTAGGACAGGAATTTTCTCGATCACTGTAAAGGACTGCAAAAGATAAAAAAGGATTCTTGCATTAAAAGATTTAGCAAATATGGCAAGCCCATTCACATCAATCCACAATTGGAAGCATTAGTAGTATTTCCCATTCACCATGGTAACAGAATAATAAAAAAAAATTTTTCAAATTTTTCTCAGATTATATTATCAAAATTAATCTCTCCTTTTTTTATTTTGAAGAACGGGAAAATTCGAAAAGTAGGGATTTTACCGAGCTTTTATGTATAGAATCACAGTTTTCTTTGTAAATATTAATGTTAAACGATAATGATGAATTTTGTAAATAATTTATAAATGGTCAATATTCACCATTTCTGGTCAGATTTGCTTCAATGGTTCATTAAAACAATTTTGCCTGAGGGCCAGTTGGATTGTTGAGTTCTCGCCACCCATATTCCACTTTTTACAATGGATTCCACTATTTACTGAATATTCTACGAATACTCTACGGATATTCGAGACTATATGAGAGACTATTAAGATAATACAATGAAATAAATAAATAACTTGAAAAGTAATTCCTTCCTTTTTTGAATCGATTTATACCATAGTTTGATCTATCAAATGCTTTTGGTGTTATTGTGAGGTATTAATTTTCTAGAAAAGAATTTTCTTTTGTAATCGCTTGAATTAAAATATCATCGATTAATGAATTTTTGGGATTCAAAACTTTCATTTTTCATCCGAGCTGAGTTATCATCTTTATATTATTTATTACCATCTTTATAAACTCTGATTTTATCAATTTCTATCCAAAACTTACTTATTTGATTACTTTTAGCTACTACGTGCATAATAGATTGAGTAATAATAAATTTTTTAAAATCCTTAATAAGGAATCTTTTTGGTCGAATTATGTTTTCGCATTAAAAATTCTCCTTTACAGCAAATGTGTCGGAATGTGTTTTTTTCTTTATTTATTTTTATTTTTTCTAAAATAAATAAATCAGTATATAATAATAATATTTTTAAAGAATTATCGCCTCAACAGAATGGAATGCACTTCGCATGTCGAAGAAAACGGTGATCGTTTATCTGCGCTCACGGTAGGTAACCTTGATAAACAATAAGAATTAATAAAAAATTAATGACAAATTAGAAGTAAGCGAAAAAACCTAAATAAAATTAAACAAAATTTACCATTTGGCAGTTCAAATTCTTTAACGAGAATTTATTTGGTAGAGAAATGTTAACCCGCATTTTTAATTATCCCTATCGGTGGTTCAAAACATTACGTTCAGGGCGATAATCTGAGTGGCAATTATGCATAAAATTATGAACTGCTAAATAAATAAATAAGATGACGACGTTACTAGAAAAGTTAATAAGAAATTTTCATGGGGGAATGCATTTTCTAGATTGCAGAAGAATCTATAACATCTTACGAAGACGGAAGACGACAAATTGCAGAAAGCACAAAACTATTAAAAGTGAGTTCACCTCGAAATTTCGATGAAATTTTTTAATCGGAGGATTTTTAATTTCGATTTACCATTCATAATATTCATTTTACTAGTCTCCTCGAGTTTTTAATTTCGCTGGTATTTTTTCCATTTCATGAATATCTTTTAAGAGATGGAAGAAAAATGAACAAGAAGCATTATGGGACAATATCGATGAAGATATGCATAGTTTTACTTTAGATTTGAGCGCTGTTGAAGCAAATAACTGTGACACAAGTGATAACATGAGTAATCGTCATTTTATGGATGATATTGCAGCCACAAGTAATGAACCATTACTTATTGCATCAATCTTAAAAATACTTTATTTTCATTTCAATATGTTAAAAGCAAATGGCGAAACAATTCCTTCCTCGCGAGGTGGGCAATAGTGTTACAAAGCAATAAAAATTAAAATAAGTTGAAAGCATAAAAGGCATAAAAGTGCATTTGATTTGAGGACCATTTGTTTTACCACCAACATCACCACACAAATCAAATTCGAAACGAATCTCGAGCCATTTGGTAAGTTACGCATTTACTTTTAAAGTTTCACAGTTTGTCTCTAGAGTTTTGACTTCCACCGTTTCCAGTTAGGGTAGTCCCACTTATTAGTGTGGTTAGAATGTTTTTCAGAGATTCTCTATATAATAAAAATTCGTCTCCAGTTTTTTAATAAAGATCGAAATAACCATATTACTCGACCATCCTTATCGCTTCACAATTTATAGCCTTTAAAAAAATCGAGGTTCATAATGCAAGGAACCCATAAGATTTTCTCCATAAATTTTTATGTAAGTCAAAACCGATACGATAAGTACGAGAGCCGATAATTTATGCTAATTTTCTCACAGATAAGATCACCTCGCCATTTGTCATCGATATCACCTTTTTCACCACGCACGGATATGGTGGCTGATAATGATTTTTTCCCGTAAGTAGTCTATCATTTCATGTTATTATCCGGTTACAATTGAAGTCGACAGTAATATGATAAGGCAGCAGTAAAAATAATAAATGATGTGATAAATTCTATAAACCTCAAAGATCCATTTAGCATTACCATTTTATTCGTTTATAGGAATATAGGAAACTGTATAGGAATATATTTTATAAATATAAATATTTTTTAAACTAAATGATATGAACCAGAATTATCATGAATCATTTCTTTAATTATTAAATGTTAACAAGTATTTTTCAAAATAAATATTTACAGTTCTGCTTATTGCTCTGATTCCTTACCGATTTCAACACAGAGTAAATCGGAAGTTTCGCCCAATAACAGTTTCGATTCAGAATATTTTAGCATGGATAGGCAAAGCAATGAGGTGCATTGGACTATTTTTTGAACTGTTTTTAATTTTATATTTAGATTGGATTTACAAATAAATAAAAAATAAACTGACTTGCTTAAATTCTCAGGAGCTAAGATTCATGAAGAAAATTTTCACAGAATACATCGCAAATAGTTCAGATAATGAATTAAGTGGAGGTGAAAGTGTCGCTTACGATGGTAGTAGTACTTCTGTAAGTATCTTTATTTTATGCACTTTTCCAGTTAAAATGCAAAATCCTTTAAAATATTAAACACAAAAATTCACCAAAATTTTCGGTTTTTCCTATCGAAATTATTTAATTATTATTTATTATTTAAGTTTTCTTATTTTTATATGAGCAGTTAGGTAAATCATCTTATTATTCAATGATAAAATTAAAAATTTTTTCAATGAATTGCCACCATTTCTATGAGAATGAGAAACGAAAATTATACGTAAAGAATAAGACCTACAGAAGACATATAAATTACATATAAATTTAAATACAAATATAATATACAAATACAAATTACATATTGATATAAATTTTACGTTAAGAATATACAAGAATATACACGAATATTTTTCATTTCCGTAATATACGATTGGCAATGATAAGTTTTTAAATGGTTTATAACTATTTTTAAAGCTTTATCAGAAATAATAAATTTATTTTTTAATGACACAAAACTCCATTTGTTTTCATGCATATTTATTTATTAGAATTAACAAGGCAAAACATGGAACAAATAGGATTGTGCAGATAGAATTCACAGAAATACTTGAAAGTAGTTAAAAAATGCAAAAATACAAAACAATGCACCAAAATAAAATTGTAAACAAAACTGATATTATCAATCTAACGGTATTAACATCGAATAAACTATAAAAGTTTTTCTGTCTTCTGTTCAGTCGAGTTTAAATGATTTGGATGAAACACAAAATTCAATGAATTCAACTTTCGAGCATGACGATTTGGATGCCCATATAATTGGGTAAGTCGCATATTTTTGACTCATTTGAGCTAAATACCGAAGTATATCAATGATTCTTTTTCTTCTCTTTTGTGTGAATGCAGCATTTTTAACTGTGAAATTTTATAAGATTCAGTTTTTTTCAGATTCGCTGAGGAATACGGGTCAACAACCATCGGTTTGAAGGCTTCTACCTCATTTGAATATAATGGCGAACAAGCACTTGACAAACCATCGTTAACAACTATACCCAGGCAAAAAATCTTTTGCATATAGTTTCCCACATCTCTCTCTATATTAGTGTTGACATTCTTTTTTTAATTCCGAAGGCACCCACTAGTACTTCTTTAGCCGACTATTAGTGCGAAACCCTTATATCAAAGAAACATTCGGAACTAAGTGGAGCAATATCTTAAAAATTATATTTTAGATTTTATTTTCCTGCTGGCGAATTAACCGATAATTATAAAAATATTAGTGCTTTTCATCGAGCAAAATTAATTTTTGAGCGCAATGAGGGCAAGGTAATTTGTTTTAGATTTCAATCAGTAAAATCAATTAGTGCTTAGAACTATAAATTATTCACTGATAAAGAATGACGATAATGAAAAATAATATTAGGTGAAATTTATGCAAATGTATTTGATATGTGCTGCAATAAATTTGCCTTTGTATTGGAAACGACCAATTTTCGATAGTTGCTGTCCTGATTCGAATCATGAAATTTACGTGGACTCATTTGAAATATGGTGGAGACGGTGAATTTTCTGCTCAATATCCGAATTTTCATGCAATATTAATATTAATAATTAGAGAGTAGAATTATGGGCAATCCACATGAAAATCCATGTTGAGAGTTAATTCATACGCTTTTCACACTTTTCAAGAACTTCTTTCTTAGAAGAGTACTCTCATTATTATCATATAGAAAATAGATAACATTACATTTACCATTTTGTGATGATCATGATGAATTGAAACATCAAAATTTTCTTGAAAATTTTCATGAATATCTTTTAGTTTGACAGCAGTAGCACACGATGAAGCTGCTCGATTCATATTCATTTTGACTAAAGGAAAGGCTAACTATCTAACGGCGAATGATTTTCGACCAGTGATTATGGATTTGGTGCAAACATTGCCCTCTCTGGATTTTCTCTCATCTTCTCCTGGTTTTCATAATGCCTATATAGAGACGGTAATGTTATCATTTTTTAGCTCTAAGGATGAAATAAACTTATTGTAGGTTCGATATTAAGCAGAAACTGTGAGGAGATAAATGTTATTCAAAAATTTTTTGAGGAAATAAAATTTTTGTTTCCTTAAATTTGAAAGCAATATGCAAGAATTTCTTATTTGGCTTCGGAAAAAAAGATTTCAATGTACAATCTGCGAAATTTAAGGATAAATTTTTTTGCGATAGAAATGCAAAACAGTATTAGTATTTGCGAGGGAAAGAAGTGCTTAAGCTGTCCCCGAAGGTAACGTCGCTTTAATTTATTGCGCTCATTTGCTGAAACTGGCGATTTTAAATATTTTCAGGTGGTTTGCCGCATTTTTTGGAATGTAAATCGTTCATGGAGTGGCCATATTAGTGCGGCTGAACTAAGAAGATCTAATTTTCTTAGTGTGAGTCTCATTTTTGTTAAGCTACTGTCATGCACTATTATTAAAATAAATGAAACGGTCTAAAAAGATAATTTTATTGTTGAATTGCGTGAAAAGATTATTTATATGATAAGATAAGATTTGTTGGATAAGTTATATTGATTAGCGCCTATGATTTCTTGTTAGGTTCGTTCCATTAACTGTCAATATGGTTGGTACCGAACTTTTGCTAGGAAATCACTTAGAGGATATTCTAAAATTTGGATATTATAATTTTATAGAGAAAAGCGTAGAAATATAATTAGAATGGGCATATGGTTATAAATTTTTCACCAAGTAATCATTAAATATTTAGCGCAATTAGCAATATTATTATTATTATTATTATTATTATTATTATTATTATTATTATTATTATTATTATTATTATTTTATTACTATTTATTATTATTAATTGTTATTATTATTACTTTATTTTAACTATATTATAGATGCTGAGAAAGTTAGAGCGAGTCGACAATGTCAATGACGTTACGGATTATTTCAGCTACAATCATTTTTATGTAATTTATTACAAATTTCTACAGCTAAGTGGCCCTAGCCATCAATTAACGAAAAATGAATTGTCAAATTATGCTGAAGGAGGTAAAAGTTCTCAATTAGACATTTGAAAGACATTAATGATAGAAATCATAGTCTATATGTTTCTCTCATCTTGTTCTATGAAAATTTCCAATAAAATTTTTTATTAAAATCATTTCTTTTTTAAATAAGTCCATCCTTTTATTTGTGGCTTTTCTTAGATACATTGTCGTCGCTTCGGCACGTACAAGAGTTGTCAAAGGTAGATAGGTTCTCAATCTTCTCCACTCTCATTGACCATATCTTGTAAATATCATGTAAGAAGATCGTACTGCAACCAGGTAGATGTGAACCTTTGTTTTGCCGAACGAAAAAAGGTGCCTTTGACTGCAGCTGGAATTTGTGACTATTGGCTATGAGAACATTTAAAATCTAATACTATTATTAATTTATTTGAATAGCCTTATCAACATTTGCATGCAGAGTTCCATCTTATTTACATTAATTTTTGGTGTTGCTGTCGATACTTGGTCTAGTGTCCATAGCAGTTCCACGCAACTTTTTTTTTTTAAAAGTATTCACCATTACTGGTTAAACTCGTTCCGGCTAGCCGCATTGGACAAATGTGCCAGAGAATCTCTTGGTGATAGAAAAGGGCAGAAACGTATTTATGGTCCGTGATGCTATGCTGGACTATTTGCACTTTGTTAGTGCCAACAAGCAGTATCTATAATCCAATCTATCGCCTAGTTAATAATAGAGGAATGTGCAACTTTGGCGCACATAAGCATTTCAAATGGATGTATGAATCTCCTTCACATAAGCACATATACATACCTGTGTATGCAGATAAAATATCTTCTCTGATAAGCCTTCTCTGAATCAATCATGTTGTATAACTTGACAAAGAACCACGCTCTCGATAATCTCGACAGAGGAAATAGTAAAATCGATGTAGCATGGCAGGTTATCAATTCTTATTGAAATAATGTTCTCAGCGAGAAAATTTGAAGAGCCATATCCTGACTTAAATCCTGCTTGACATCTTTACATCCTTCTGTTACCCGTTGCCATGTTCATTCAGCAGAAGATTCTTCTTTCGGAGCAAGATTCTTCCTTTGCCTTGCTCCATTCATATTGCATTTGCTATTTCTCCCACACCATTGAATACAATGTGGGGGATAGGATGTCTCAGTGAGTTGTTGCTCAATTTGGAGTAGCCGAAGCTGTTGTTCGGTTCCGCGCAGCAAACCTGTACAAAAATCCGGGTGATGCTGGCGACTCACCTGTATCGCTGTACTTTTGTCGCCAAGGGACTCCCTGGCATCCAATGCGACAAGCCAGTGGAGCGAGTTTAGCCAGTAATGGTGAGGACTCTTAAGAAGAAGAAGAAAAAGATAATCAAATGTGTTGCGAAGGATCCCGAGCAGAATTCGATGGCTCCAGCTAGCAGGTCATTTTATTCTGTGGTTTTATTGGATTTCAGCTTATGAATCATAGATATAATCGTCTCGAACTTCTCTCTTCATATTTAAAGCCCTACTGTTCGAGTATTAATTTTATCTCGCTTAGAGAATCTACAGTACTATCAACTGTCAATATCTCATGCGTCCTCTGGCAGCGATATCGGACAACTGGACTATTTCTATCCTTATTTTCTTTCGCATTTTATTTTCCAGCACCCGTAGAAATATCAAATTTCCGATATGCGACTACTACTTAGCATAGAATTCTTCTAGCGGTGATTGGCCAAAATACAATCAATTGATTCCAGTGATAATTGCCTGGCGAGTTCTGTCAATTAGACGTCTTCTGTAATGCTGAAAACATCTACTGGGGTAAAAAGTCCACGCTCTCAGTCATATCTGCCAACCACAGAAGATGGAGTATCTTCATATTTTGTGCGCGCATTCCAATCTCCTATACTCATAATTACGTTATTTTTCTGGGAGAGATGCTGTAAGTAAGTTCGAGTCTATATAAAATCTGTCCTTATCCAGATCATCAAGTGCAAGGTGCAGAAACACAACCATTGATTATGATTGATTATAAAAGCATTGAGATGAGAAAAAAAAAGAATTTATTTTTTAAATTTCTAATTTTCTAAATTTCTAATTCTAATATTTTATAAATATAGGGTTCAAGCTTGAAGAATCTGAACAGATTCTTCCAAAAAATACTAGAGTAAATCAAACGACAATCGATGATAGCATAGGAATTAGTTCTTCTCCCAGCAGGACCAAGTTTGTCCAAAAATCCAGATGATGCTGACGACCCATCTGTATTTCTGTCGTCAAGAAATTTCGTGTATTTGTCTAGTACGACAAGCCAGCGGAGCGAGCCTAACCAGTAATAATGAGGGCCCTTAAAAAAAAATTGGAATATATAATACAGATAGATACTTAGATCACGACCGCTCACCGACATCTCTCAATAAGCTATATCATATATAAAATATTTATCAATAATTTAATTGAACGAATTACGAATTTTTAGCGATTCCAATGACTGTAATTTCGCGTATATTCACAGGCGCTGTTATCAGGAATTCTATAAATAAAGAAATAACAACCTTAAAATATTCAGATTTTATCTACTTTATTTTAGCTGAAGTGGACAAAAATCATCCAACGAGGTGAATTTTCATGTTTTTAAAGTTCAGAAGTCATTGGCTAAATAATTAGGTTATTTAGTTGCCCACTTTAAATTCGTTAAATTATAATTTAATTTGAAAAAATTTAATTTATATGATTTTAACACCACATTTGTCCAAATTTTTCATTGAAAAAAAGATTTAGTATCGAATACTGGTTCCGAGTTATGGATTTAGATGGTGACGGTCGGTTATCAATGGATGAACTTCAATATTTTTATAATGGAATTTTGGAGAAATTAATTAAGGCTCAAGTGGAAGTAATGTCTTTTTGCGACGTTATATGCTTAGTAAATTTTTTGATTTTTCATTCTTCGATTTCAAACTGATTTTCCTTTACAAAGTGTGGAAATAATTGGCAGAAACGTTTAGATAAACTAATATAAGTGGGAGCTAAATTTGTCTCAGGGTTTTTAAGGATAAAGAAAGTATTTAATTATTGATAATTTTCAAAAAATCTTATTGATAAATTTTTTAACACTAATATCGCTTTTAACTATTAGAATATAACAAGATTTAATTTTTATTCTAAGGCGTTCATTTCACTGAAAAGACTTGATTTTGATTATCTGTTATTTATTATTATTTGTTTCGAATTTTCAGCTTATAGACATTATAAAACCGCAAAGTGAAATATACATAACTCTCGGGGACATAAAAAAGTCATCAATGTCAACTTATTTCTTCAATACTTTCATAAACTGGGTGAAATATTATATACAAGAATGTAATGATAGCAATCAGAAGGTTTTTTCATATTCAAAAAACAACTAACATAAATAGGAACTAACATAAATAGGTTGCATTGCATCGAGTGTTTCGATTAAGGTCTGTCATAGGTTCCATTTCTGCCCCTTTGTATAAACCAGAAATTCGAGTAATGCTGCAGACTTAAATACTAATTCTAGTACCTAACTGAATTTCTGAAATACAATTAGTGGGTAGCAAGTGGAGCAGCCAAATCAAGAAGTAAAATTTTGCTGGTCGGTTGATCTAGTAATATCAAAAGTTTTTTTTGTATGTGCCCTGTATTTTTTCATTTTAACTGAGTATAAACAAGTAAAAGAAAAAAAAATTTTGGGACTCATGCTGGCTATACCTGTTATATATATAAAGAGATATTTATTACCTGTGGTCCCTAAAACCAAACAACTCGAGTAATTAAAATATTTATAAATAACCACGTCATAATTCGATAAAAAGGAATAAAATGGCTTAGCGGATTGTTTCTTAATTCGGAGCGCGGATGCTGATGTTCTGCTCTTCGTAGGAGTAAAATTTGCTCAAAAATCCTGTTGATGTCGACAATCCGATTCTGTTAACAAGGATATTTTTATTAGTAATAATTGCAGCTCTAATAATTACAGAATACAAATTCGTTTTCCCATAATTCCTTTCTCTGCTCGTCCCTAACAAACCTCTCCGACCCCACGTCAATAGTCATTTTCGCCTTTTAACAATGGCGCTGGAATCTTTTTTTACGCTTAGGAAAGGTGGCAAGAAAATAACCGTTTATAACGATAATTCACCAGTTGAAATCCTATTATATAATGTCATTTATATTATACTGTAATGGTCTAAACTGAGAACGAATTGCAAATTAAAATATTTTCTTGTTTAGGAATCGGAATTGAGTGATTGGGATTACTTCTGTGTTACTGAATTTCAATTACTGATAGAGAATGAGGCCGAAATGATGGCAATATGTGACGATGACGACACTGATACTGAAGGTAATACAAATAATGAAGAATTGTGAGAAATAATGAAGAATTGCTGCGTGAATGTTCCCAAATAGTTATATTGTATCCTCTTAATAACATGTAAGCTGGCATATCTCATTTCCTATTAATTTATATTAAGCAAGGAGCGTTCTGCAATAAGAATTGGGAAGTCAGAGTTCAACTAGGCCACCTGGGTGCCACCTGGATCCAATGATTTTCTTCTCCATTTTAATTCATTGATTTTATTTGTTTTAGAATTTGATATGTATTTTATGTGGAAAATTACTGATTTTTTTATCATTTTCCAAATATTTTATTAATGAAAGTTGTTTTGGTTAATAAAAATTTAAAATCTTCTTGAAGCTCGCTAAGATGTATGTGCTTTTATTAATTCTTTCATTTCTACAAGTGCATTAATATGTGAAAAATTATTTGACATTATTGGTTAAATTTGGCTTCTAATAGAGTAAGTATATCGTGGCTTGACTGGCTTAACTGGTTACTAGGATAATACGCTTCAAAATGTTCGATCCGATACCATGCCTGAAATCTGATGAAGACTTTCCTTTTCTGGCTCCAAAAACAATAAATCGTTGCGAGTTCAATGCAAATAATGCGTTCAAAATCTCACCCGATCCAGGTAGTGATTGGATCTACTGGATTTAGCTCGAAGTGAGATATTTCAATTACTATTGTGCACGACGAAGGATATGGCATAACCAGCACTGCTCTTTGATGTCTTCGATACCTTTAGTACATGTGATATTTCAGTGAAAATGCAATAATGTGATTTTCTGGGCGAGCCAGGAAAGGGTGTTTCCATCGTTTTAAGTGGTTTTTGAAAATCCTAATTTTATCCTTGTTTCGGATCACTAACCATTGTCCAAGCCACAATTGCTTTGCAAGGTAATTTTTGTTTATCGCCTATTCAAATATCCATATTTCTCTCTAACCGGCAAATCCATCTAAAAGTGGCCTTTACTGTGCACATTTGCAGAGCTGAGGGTGTTTCTAAACAGTCTTTTGCCTTTTACTTCTTCGCTTATTTAGTAAATAGGCTCTTTTTTTCGAGTGATTTGCCAGTTTGCGAATGGTATAATACAAAATTAGGCTTCTGGAGAAAACTTCAGTTTGCACCATCAGTCGCGATTCTCCCAGAGATGCTTTTGATAAGAAAGTCTTTGAAACATTTTGTTGAAGCTCGTCAAAAGATTTTGGGGATAATTTTTTTTTGTGCGTTGCCCGTTTTATCCGAAACTTGATTTTAGCCATAAAATGCCATATCAAGAAAAAAGAAGATAAAAGCTGATTTAAAAAGCTGATTACGGAATTATTACGGAACCAATAATAATCAAAAGAAAACATGCAAATTCACTATCTAAAAAGAAATTATTCATGGGTTTTAATTGGTTTTGGCTGATAAAAATACATAAAGGACTAAATTATATGAAATGAATTACATTGATCAGCTTTGAAGATAATCCTAAGCTTTTATCCTTTAAGAAAATAAAGATTAATCTCTTATTATTTCAATTCTTCACATCATCAGTTATTTTTTCATAAAGTTTTTAAAAGGAAAATAAACTGGCGCTATTGAGAATTCACGAAAATTGAGCAAATCAAAGGCTTAGCCTGGCAGTTTATTCATATTTTAAAATTTTTGTATTTTTACGATATCATTAGGAAAATGTTTTAAAACGTTGTATAGTTTTTTTTAAACCAAAAATAAACCTCTCATAGGAATGCGTATTGTGGGAAATGAAGAAAAAAAAATTAAGAAGAATGAATTTTAAAGAATTCGAAAATTTTCAGTAAGAAAAAGCGATAATTGAGCATTATAAATGATTAATAATGAGAGAAAATTGATGGAAATTTTCATGAAATGAAATTTATGTCATATTCAATTTGATTTTATAAACTTTATTAAAGCAAAGTTATAAATTTTTCAAATTTCCTTCAAAATTTCGTAAAATTCAAATTTTACAAAATAAATTTTTCTTTTCTTCTCAGAGAAATTTTTTTCATCGAATTATTTTAATTAATTTTTATGCGTTTTTTTTGTATTCGAAGCATGATTTTGCAAAGCAAAAATTTATTTAATTCTATTTAGAAAAAAGAATAATCATTACTTGCAGAACGTGAATTTAATAACAACGACTTTCGTTGGATAAATTTGGTTACTGAAGGCAAATTATGCAATAAAAAGTAAAAAGCGTTTATATTTTATGGATCTAATTTATATTTTTCAGCACCTTTAAAACTTTAGAGTATTGGTTTTGGATTCAAAGATTTTGGATGAAATCTTTTTTGGGAATAATTTTATCGGATGATTTAATAATGGCCCTTTTTAAATTCAAATTCTTCAAGGTTCCACTTCAGTAAAAATCGAAATTAACTTACCAGCAAGCTGTAAGTTTATAAAACTGCGTGCTAAAGCGTGCTATAAACAGCTATGTTTTCCTGATTATTTGGTTAAGAGTTAATAATTCCATTAGGTCCATGCTTTTAAAATTACTATTAATTAATTTTTATTTATTTAAGAACGGCAATAAAAATTGTTCGATATAAAAAATACGATCTCCATTTTTTCCTTATAACTATGTTTCCAATTAAAAAATGCGAGTCATATTCAGTTTAATCGATTAAACTGGAGAGGAATAAGCTGGCTTAGTTCTTTTTAGAATTCAAAATTTACTTAGATTCGCGCTCAAAAAAATAAATTAACATTGCTGAAAGCTTTAATATTTATAGCTTTTTAAAATAACATTTATCATTATATTTTGATTGCATTGCTGTGATAGCATTTTTGATAGCACTGGGATTGGATAAAGATGAGATGGATTTGTTGGCTTTATTAATTTTTCCTTCATCTTTCATGCATTTTTTCACTTGTGAAGCATGTGGTGCAACACTAAGAATCTCAATAGTTCATCAGTAATTAACATTTCATTTATATCCACAATTTTATAGAATAAGTTTGTAATTCGAATTTTTCCTTTAAAAAAACTATACATTTCTTAATTTCAGTGCAATTTTCACCAAATATATACTTCGCTTAAACGAAAAATTAATGATCAATCACCGTATTCAAATCGATCTGAGGGATCGAATCTAATTGAATGCGCTCTTTTCTTAAGAAATCCACCGAAGCCTTCGCCTTCAATAGAATCCAAGGATCTCTTTAGTGGTTGTCTATAAGGTGCATTATCTGGAGCATCAAATACAGCTAAATGTGCTCTTTTCTTAAGAAATCCACCGAAACCTTCGCCTTCGATGGAATCCAAGGATCTTTTTAGTGGTTGTCTATAAGGTATAGTATAATGTGCTGCAGATTTCTTCGAGAAACCACCAAATCCATCGCCCTCAAGCATATCAAGAGCTCTCTTATCCATTAAATGGTCCCATGATGGATGCGTCATAGGTAAATTTCGTTTTCTAAGAAAGCCACCAAAGCCTCTTCCCTCAAGTGAATCAAGTGATTTTTTGCCGCGAACAAAGAACGGATGATCCCGTTTCGAAAGTCCATCAAATCCAGTGCCTTCGAGTGCATCTAATGAACGCTTATTTCTCTGATTTTTAATTAGGGAATATTGGCCATTATTCATTCCTCCAACGAAGTGAATTGGTATAATTTGTGTAATCTGAAATTTAGCAATTATATTTAAGGAATGTAACTTTTCAAAGAAACAAACTTTAAATATTTATTTATGCCATTTTTAAATAAATGTATAGATGCACATGAATTTTAATTCACAAGGCAATAAGAATGGAACTAATTTCAGTGAAAAAGTGACCTTAAAATGTAGTGAAAGCCCATACGAATATCGACCCTGTAACTTTATCCACTCTTTGGTTTTACTATGTGTAAGAAATTTTCATCTGAATTTGAGTGAAAAACTGTGCCATTTCACTCATTATAAATCAAATTTCCTAAAGTACGAAGACCTTTTTTACTGCATTATTTATGATTTGCAGTTAATTTCTGTTTTTATGAAAATATTCATTAAATTTTTAATCTATGAAAATGAATTTTTATATTTTTTTATTAATTTGTTTATCTATTTTAATTGAAATATTTTGACCGAATTGTCTGACAAAAAACATTTTAATGGTACACAGATGGAAAATAACCGATTTTACGATCTGTTACAAATATTCGCAACATTTCATTTCCATTAAATTATTCCCTTGGAGCCTTCTGGTAGAAAATAAGCAAAATATCCGTTCAATTATTAGTTTAGTGGTACGACTAAGCGCTAATTGAATACTAAGAGATTGATTTAATGAAATGAAAAAAAAAATCCAGACAAAATTTAAGCGAAATCTCATTTCTTTTTGATGGAAAGAATAAAAATACTTTAAGCCATTTAATAAAAAAACTGACAAAAAGACTCTTAGTAATTTTACAAATTCCAAGTTTTGTTAAGGGAGAAAGACGGCTCAATGGGTTGTTACTCAATTTGAAATGTCGATGCTGAGGTTCTATTCCCCGCAGAAATAAACCCATCCAAAAATCCGAGTGATGCTGGTACTTGTATTTCTATCGCCAAGAGACTCCCTGGCACATTGACAAGCCAGTGGAGCAAGTTTAATCAGTAATGGTGAAGATTCTTTAAAAAAAATAGCCAGCTATAGTAGTTAAACTTTTCGCTAAAACTAAAACTGTACTTTCCGCCGCGTGGTAGGAATAAATCTTTCATAAAAAGATTATCAAGCTGAAATTTAGGCTGAAAATTCCCAACATGAATTTGACGAAAAAAACTTACGAGCAGAAAAACGAATGGATGATGAAAATTCAGTGAATGAATTAAATTCGCAAACATCGTTTATATTTCTTTCCCTGAAATTGTTATTTAAATGACATTATATTAAAGAAACATAAAAAAAGAAATTTAGCGCTATGTATACAAATGAAAATCGAATAAAACAACAGTTAGGACATAAATTCATTATGCCTTAATCGCTAGAATTTAGATATGTCAATGGTAGAATAAGCTTGAAATGATGCTGAAAAAAAGGATATAATTGGCCATGTTCAGCATCTACTTGAGTTCAAAGAGACTTGGTAAAATTTGATACAATAATGCACATCAGAAGAAAAATGATCGAATCATATCGGCTGAATATAAGATATATGGATTCCCCTTCTACTGTTCGATAGGAATAAATTTTATAAAAAATGTCTGGCCCGGGTTTTATCTCGCGAAATATTTAGTCTGAAAGAGTATTATAGTCAGCGAACCAACTAAATTAATGTCATCTTCTGTTTGCGGGAAACTACAAGGACTATTTTTTATTAAAATGATAATTGTAAAAATTATATTGGCATTGAAATATATTAATGCTTATAATAATAATAATTTCTTTTAATTTTACATAAAATCTACAGTTTATTTCTATATGAAAATGAATAATATTAATAAAAATGGAATGGCGAAAATAATAAAACTCTTCATATTATAAGAGAAATGTCCGATCGAAGCAAAAATATTCTTTTGCAGTTCTTGATTTTTCTTGAAATAATCGCGTGTGCATATATATATATAGGAAATGTGGTCCCACCTCTTTTGGGTGATATTTTTTTGCACTTATTTTATCATTCAGCACCATTCTTTCATTAAAATACTGTAGTGACGTAACTATTTAAGCATTTCTTTAATATGAAAATCTTGCAAGAAGCTTTTTGAGTAAAAACTATTTTTTAAATAAGTTATAGCAGTTCTTTTCTTTGCACTCATTAGATTTATGACATTTCGAGAAGTCATCTATATTGCTGTTTACCAATTTGCTTTATTTACTTACTTTATTTTAAAAAAATAAGGTTCTAACGATTACAACGCAAAACGACGAAAAAAACTCAACGACAGTTTAATAATTCATATCTGTCAAAATTCGAACACGACCATGTAATTCTGAGTGCAATTCATGTGGAGTGCACAAAGAACTTAACTAATGCCAGGATAGATTTTAATGCTGAATCCAATCTAATGCTAGGATCTAACAGATTTAGCGCATAAAAATTGTTTTTTATGCACTAAATCTATCTCGCCAGCTGATATAAATTTGTAATAAATATAAATAATTATAAAGTGCAATAAAAATAAATAGTTTCAGCTAAAAAAAAGAAAAACAATTGAAAGCGAAAAAATATGTATAAATTTAGGGAAATTAAGGCTGTTAATTAAAGTATGATGCAAAATTTATGTCATTTCATCTAGAATATTATATTTCACTGAATGATCGAATATTTTTCTTTGATGCTCGAGACAGAATTAAATATTTTCATCAAGCAATTGAATTTGATTATTTCCCACAACTTTTTAAATTCAACTTCAATCGAATAATTCAATGGAATGAAACGAAAAATTTTTGCTAAGCTGACAAAGCATTTAAAAAAATTCTCAGAGTAGAAAGCGGAAAAAAGTTTATGAACTTTTAAAATGGTCCTTGTAATCTAAAAATGATCTGAATCGTTGGAATAGAGGAGATGATTTAAGATTTTGGATCAAGATTAACGAAGTTTTATTATGCTTAATCCAAGAATTCATAATTCAACAGTAAACACCAAGTAGTCTTTTGTTTGTTCGTTGGTAATTATATATGATTAAAGCAAATATTATTGACAATATGTAATTAGTTATGTAACTAATTCCAACTGAGTTTGCCCGTGTCAATTAGAAATTGAAAAACAACATATCAAAAGAAAAATACTAGTGGGATTTTCTAAGAATTATTCTATTTAAGAAAGGATGGCCGTATGTATAATACTTGGATAATCATTTCTAGCATGGGAACAACCATCGGTTCTATATGTATGTGAATGCCTAGCCCATCTTATAAAGAATTCAACCCAATCAGAAACGTTGAGCGCCAATTATGTACTTATTTTATTTTATTTAGGCTAAGCGAACGAAAAATTTTACTTAAATGATTCAGTTCCCTAGCATTATAAAATACTCGATAACCGAGTTTCTATCTTCTTCACTAATATATTTATCTTTTTTATTTATCACCATTTTTTCACTCCCACTTATCATCAATCATTATCTTTTGTCCTAAGATATAACGGAAGCATTTTTCCTTTAGTGGGAGTGGGAACAAATTTTTATTTGAAGATAAATATAAATTCGCTATTCATTGTTGGATTGATTAAAACCTATATGGAAATGCATTAATCAAATCTTTCATTTCATATCATGCATATCAGTCGTTCATTCTTTGTAGTTAAGTTTTATCAATCAGAATTTATTGTAGTTCCACAGTTTCCACAAGTATATTTTTCATTGACGATCTAATGAAATAAAGGACAAATAAAATACAAAAATTGGTAAAATATTTGATTATAATTGCTTTATATTTCAATAAGCCAATAACAATTAATTTTAATGTACATAAATATTTATTATGTAATATTTATTATAAAAATATTTAATAAATATATATTATTTATATATATTTTCAAGAATTTTATAGAATTTTCTTCCATAATATAGACAGTTGCTTCCATTTGTTTTTTAATCAGAAAATTTTACAAAATTTGCACTGATTGTATTAATAATTAATGCCTTTAAATTCCAATCGACAGTTTGAGCTTAATTTCATATTTATCGAATAGCTTATTTATTTTAATCGTTCATATTTATTTTTAAGAGCTTAAAGCTTTGACCTATAATTTTGTCTTATTGATAAGGTATATTATTTGGTAGAGAATAAAATAAAGAAATAATGAAATAATTAAAATTTAAAATATAACCCAATTTAAAGTGGTACTGAGGAACATGAAAATGGCAGAATAAAATGACGAAAAGTAACCTCATACAAGTTGATTTCAGCATGAAGCAAAAGAATAGACTAAAATAATGATACTCAGTAAAAAGAATTTATATCATGAATAATCCTTAACGACTTAAAATAATTACCAAATTAAGTGAATTTAATGAGGAAGCAATTAAATTATTCTGAAATTCAAGCACAAACTTCTAGTAATAATATTAAAATAAAAATTAAATTATCGCAAAAAAATATTGGTTTTTAAAAAGTTGAATTTTATATCACCTACTCATTTCACTGCTGATTATCTTTAAAATGATCGTTATATTAGAAATGATAATGGTATATTTTTTAATTCTTAAGCCATTAATTTAACTAATTAGCATACAAGTACTTCCTGAAGGTCAGCATTATTTGTATGACTTTTACATAGTTTGTCTCAGAAATACTGCTTGTTCTAAGGTAAATGTAATGGTTTTTCTAAAAAAATTATAGATATTTTCGATGTTTACATAGAGCACATAGAGTAGTGTGCGCTTTACTTGAGTGTGGTGAAAATTGCTCAATGTTTCAACAATGGAACCTGAAGTAACATCTAACAAGTATTTACGACATTACATTTTCCAGTGGATAATCTAAGGTTATCATAAGCCTCGTTGCGCGAAATGTATCCAAAGCATTAGATGTCAGAAAGCGTCAAATGTGCTTTCGATAATTAAGAGTGGTGATTTCAATACTTTTGTTAAAAATTGATGGAGCTCCATAGTGGCAGCTGATCTATAAACATTGGATGAAACCGCTATTTGAGTTCCACATCAACTTAATGAAGTCTATT